TCTACACTGATATTTTATTTAAAAAATGATGAGTAAAAGTCATCAGCAATCTTTATCAATCATTTTTGTAACTCGGTCCTCAAATCATGCTTTAATCGGAGTGTCTGTCCTTTACACATAAAAAAATAAATTTTAATTCAGGCTATTGAGTCAGTCTAATTTGGCACAATAGGAAACATTTGAAGGCCAGTTTGTGTTTATTCAGTGTGTTAATTTTCACATTTCACAGTCACGTTGAGGTTACACACAGTTGAGATCATCCAACCCGCTGCTCCACCAACACTTCCAAACAATGCAGTGGCAACCAATGACAGACCTGCTGCACCTGCAGTGAAATCACATTAGACACTATTAGCTGTTTGTTATACTTGTGCAACATGAGAAAAGCTTTTATTCTTCATTGTCACACCCTGATTTACATACACTATTTTACACATGAACCTTTATTTATACAGATGTATGCACAAATAGTGTTTCATATCTTTTATAAACTTCAACAGCCAAAGTGGACTAAAATATTACTCTCAGGTACTATTAGGAAAATATAATAAAATATGTCTATTGTTTGTTTTGTTTGACACGCACTTAGAGGGAGCTAGTGAGAAAGAGAGAGAGAGATAATATATAATAAATTATTCAGTTTACCCCAGGACTGCAAGATTGCTACGAGACCTCCTGCTACAACTCCACCTCCACTAGCGATTGCTAAGTATGACATCAGTTTGGCAGCGATGGAGCCTGCTGCTATTCCAGTTGAAGTGAACCCCAGTAAAGCCAGAATGGCAGGAGTCAGAATCACAGTTCCACCAGCTCCTAGATAAAAAAGTTTAGATTAAAGATTTTCATATCAAAATTACGCTGTGGTTAATGTGGTTAATGTGATGGCATACCTGCAATCGTAACGATTGCCTTACCTGTCAATGAAATACAAGAAGATATCAAGAAAAATTTGCAATAAGCAAATAATAACAATTCATAAACACTGTATAATGGAATAAAACTATTACTAAAGATATAGACTCACATGTCTCTTCCCAGTCCATGTCTATGCTTTCAAAGATACCTTAGATGACACAGAGAGCTCAACTGCAGATACTAAAATATGTTTCAACCTGATGCAGATTTTTTACTTTTTCCAAGCATGGCCACTCCCATTTCTTAGAAAACAACACACCCTGACAGCAAATATGAACAGAGGAGGAGCAGCATAAGGATATTGTTTTTTAAAAATAGCATGAACACTATTATCTGTATATATACAGTGGCTTGCAAAAGTATTCAGCTCCCTTGAACTTTTCCACATTTTGTCACATTACATCCACAAACATGAATCAGTTTTACTGGAATTCCACGTGAAAGACCAACACAAAGTGGTGTGTATAGATAGATAGATAGATAGATAGATAGATAGATAGATAGATAGATAGATATACACACATATGTCTTGCATGTCCATGCTTTCAAAGATAACAATCAAGAGCTCAGCTGCACATATATAAAGACATACCTGATGTATGTCTTTTGCTTTTTATCCAAGAACTGCCACTCCCGTTTCTAAAGGAACAATACAAACCAGATAAAGGAGGAGCAGCACAGGGATGTAGTTTTTAAAGAAATAAAATAAATATGGTTATCAAGTATGGTTCATAGCTGTGGAAGCACAAACGTCTTTGCCACATAAAAAAACAAAAACATATCCCTTTACAATGTTCCACATGAAGTCATTTGCGGTGAGGATCAAGCATCTCAGAGATGTTAAAAAAAAGGCTTAGTTTTAGATAGTTTTAAAACATGAGAAGTTGAAATGTGCTCCTATCATTTCTCCTTCATTGGATTTTCAACATTTTGCTTCTCATGCTCCAAGTATCCTTGTAGTTCATCACTACAGATTAGGTGAAAATGATTAGGATTAAATGCAGTATAATAACACTTTCATGAAACTGTGTCCTGCCATGATCTCCAGT